AGTGGTCAACAATCGTTATGGGAAGTAACTAAGAGTGGTCAACAATCATTATGGGAAGTAACTAAGAATGGTCAACAATCGTTATGGGAAGTAACTAAGAGTGGTCAACAATCAATATTTCATAACAACTTAATGTTTCAGGCTTTTCATGTAGACAGTGCACTCAATGCTTGTTTTATTTTTTGTCAATGTTTTTCTTGCCATACAATAGCGCATAATGGACTTACGAACTGGGTTATGTATGCTATGCTCTCCACGGGTATCGAAACTACGTTTTAGCATTATAAACCTCTGTACTTACCATTGAACCACTGGGGCGGGGGTGGGATGAATTAGCAAACAAATGATTTATGTAGTGTACCAAATGTCTATATTATGTGATTTTAAGTGTTCTCAACACCACACTTTGGTTTTTATGGGCTAAACTAACAAAACAATTGATATTATGGTATACAAGATTTAAGCCTGACCAATTTTATAACGCTAAAAATTTGAGTTCGATACCCGTGATGGACAGAGTAAAAACAACCTAATGTGTAACGTCGTGCTTAAGAACGATCCAACAAATAAACAGCTTGGATTTCTAGCATTAGAAGTAGAATACGGCCATAGTTGTGGAGCTGACTGGTCATCTATATCATTATAACCTTGAATCAATAACAGTATTGAACTCAAAAATATCGGCATGAAACAGGGAATAGAACGTTCTAGTAAAGTTTTCAATGTGAATGGTGAGAACTGACTCAATGTTACCATTTACTTAAAAACTGTTCAAACCTTTTGATGGTTATAGTGCTTTCCTTAAATCAGAGATCAAGTCGCGTGTGTAGTCAGGGAAAACTTGTACATACGTCTTGCCACAGTGGATGGGGAATGGTAGTTAACTCTCAAATCAGAGAACAAGTCGAGTGTATAGTCAGGAAAACTTGTACATACGTCTTGCCACTGTGGATGGGGAATGGTAGTTAACTCTCAAATCAGAGAACAAGTCGAGTGTATAGTCAGGAAAACTTGTACACACGTCTTGCCACTGTGGATGGGGAATGGTAGTTAACTC